TTTTACATGGTGACATACGCTTTGGCATGACCCCCCCTCCCCCCTACCAGTGCGTATGTACTTTGTGCACGCCGCCTAATCATATACGGTGTTGATTAATGTGCCATTTATAATAATTAATAACTCCATACCATATAAATGATAAGTTTATTAACATGCTATGTTTATTAACATATTCTTGAACATGCTAGATTGCTTAAACACAATAGCATTTATTTATTTTTATATTTATATTAAATATAAATGTGTAAGCAATAAATTAAGTAATTATTGCCATACTTAAAATCTTTACGTATATCTGGTTTCCAATGGATTTTTACTGATTAACAAGAAAATATTTTTATTTCTTTTATACTGTATTATCATCATAATAACATAATTATTACATACCGTTTCCATATTAACAACTTTATAACTATTATATGTTTACTTTATAAATATTATATATTGTATTTTTATTTGTAATGTGTTTAGTAACTTGAGTATAATATTTATTATTTTAAAGTTTAAATAAAATTATTATTATGCATATTATGTACGAAAATGACTGACTATTTGCGGAGGTTCCCCATTTGTAACAAAATTGCCGAAACGTTAAAATTAAACATTAAATTCATTCATGTGTTCAACGAATACAACCCAAACACTCAGATATACAACGGATATAACGCTCTGTTTATTACAAACGATGATATGGTATACGGTTTGGGAGACAATTTCTGGGGGTCTCTCGGGTTAGGCCATAACAAGTCTGTCCAATCGCCACAACTCATCCCCAAGTTATCTCATCAGGGTATTCAACGGTTTATTAATGGAGTCACATTTATCATATGTGTTAATTATAAATACAAAAAAGGTAAGTTTACTTACGAAATGAATGCCTCATAATATATGCATAAAACTAGCTATAAATATTATGAAACATTCATTTCGTAATTAGGATTACTTTTTAAACATACATGTTAACATTTGTTATATTTATTCAGTGAGCCAGGTATTCAGTTTCGGTGACAATTTTTACGGACAATTAGGTAGAGATATCAAGAAAGATGACTATTTTATGAAACCTGAAAATATGATGTTTTTCAATGACCTGGATATCACTGATATTAGCTGTGGATTCGCTCATACATTAGCCCTCACCGCCAACGGACAGGTATACGGTTGGGGACACAATAGTTGCGGACAATTAGGTAGCGCTGGAATTGGAGATTTTAGGCAATTAACCCCGATCAAGATCAATTTTCCTAACGATCATAAAATAAAAGCTATTTATTGTTACTTTAACTTTTCATTTGCTATAACTATGGATGGATTTGTATATAGTTTTGGTTTTAATATAGGTATGAATTGATAAGGTTATTTTAATCTTGCATTTTAAACTTGACCAAGTTGAGTATATTTTCATGTATTCATAAATATAGGTTATAATCTGGGTCATGAGATACACCCAAACGTATTGAACCCGCAATTGATAACTCAATTAAAAAATATTAAATCTATTTTTTGTTCAAATTTAACGTATTTTCTGTCAACCGATGGTGTGGTATACACTTGTGGCGAATGTCACGAAAATCAAATGGAAGTCATAAATAAAACTCCAGTTCCGCTGAAAACTGATATTAAATTTTCGGAATTCCCGCAAATTGATATATCGGACAACTGTCCAATAATTTTAGCCAAAGACCACGCTAATATTATTTATTATATCTACAATACAAACAAAATTATTAATACTGACTACACGTGTTTTGGTCACTATTATACAAATGAATGGAAAGTAACACACGAAACAATATGCTTGAATGAATTAGATCCTGGTGCATTTAACGATAAGTTTAGTAATAAGTTTTTGATATGCACCAAACAGGTGATTATAAAGGTAATACTTTCTTGGGCAATTATAGTAAACATGATAAACTTAAAGTATTTTTGATATTTATTAAAATACTAAAAATAGATTTAACTTCTGATTTATTATGACAATAAATTATATATTGAAATATATAATAATAGTATCAAGGTAATTTCAATGTGATTAACAGATGTTTAAAATTACAGATAATTACTTCGAGCGAACATTTAATGTGATATCACTTATCGGTTCCGGAAGTTTTGGCGAAGTGTTTAAAGTGGAGGACAAAATCGATGGCGAAGTGTATGCCGTAAAAAGCATTACAATTAATGGTTTCAAATAACATTCACAAAAAGTAACAAGTTATAAAAATTAATAATTTTAACATTTTCATTTATAGATCAATCCCTAAATGAAAATGAGATAAATTCACAGATTAATAAAAAGGGTATTATATTTTGCTTACAATAAAAAATTAAATGCTTTGTTTAAAATAATAAATATAATTTTTTAGGTAAATTGAACAAGGCTATCCGAAAATCATACAGCGAGATATTTCAATTAAAAACGGTGCGCTCTCAATTTGTGGTAAAAATATTTAGCGATTGGTTTGAACCCAATGTACTATACATTCAAATGGAGTTTGTCACCAAAATCTCAAATCCATACTACAGTCGAAGCCCGATATGTTTGGCCGCAAAACTGGTGAAACCATGGATTGCATCGAGTTTTACATAACTCTTGAAATTTTCAAACAACTCTTACGATGCGTTCAATATTTACATGAATTGAATCCACCGGTCATTCACAGGGACCTCAAACCCGACAACGTATTAATAGCTAGAAATTTGAGCGAGGGTAGTTTTTTGAAAGTTGCCGACTTTGGTTTAGCCGCCATTCATGATATCAATAACACTAACCATACGGGAGGTGTGGGTACTCTGAAATATATGGCACCGGAAGTGAAACTTAAAAGCAAATACACGGTTAATGCGGACATTTATAGCCTTGCTGTTATCGGTGGGGAATTGTTTGATATTGATATATACGGGTAATTATCTTAATTTAAAAATTAACATGCACTATTAATTAATTTGATTGTTTATTTAGTGGTAGTAATTTCATAAAGTTATATAAACGTAATTTTTACGCAAATTACAATTACCTGTCGCAATTCAAAAATTATAATTTAATATACATGGAAAATATACTAAATTGGATGCTAAACTTGCTTCACTATAAAAGACCTGGTTGCTTGCAATTATTGAACAAATGCAATGCATTAACTATTAATAGAAAAGTTGTTATAAGTCACACCGAGTTTAAACTAACATTAAATAGATTTAAAACAAGTGAAAACACATTTTTCTATGAATTAATATCTTACTTGTGCAAATAAAATTATTATTAATAAATTCTTATAAGTATTTAAAACATATTTTAAACTAATTAATG